CTAAACTAAACTAAACTAAACTAAACTAAACTAAACTAAACTAAACTGGGAAGTGAAGTCCACAAATTATAAAGTTGCCATAGTTGACATCTCCACCAGGCTATAAGGCAAGAAACTGTGAGTTCTAGTCCTGCCTAGACACTAGTTGGTTCAAAACCAGCTGGTTGACTTTGGCCTGGTCTCTCCCTCTCTCTCTCTCTCTCTCCCTCCCTCCCTCCCTCCCTCCCTCTCTCTCTCTCTCTCTCAACACAATTCATCTCTCAGGGTGGTTGCTGTGGGGCAAATAGAAGGAGGAAGGAGTGTTGGATATGCTCATCGCCTTGTGCTATTTTAAAAAAATAACAAAGGCGGGATATAAATACATAAATAAAAGTAAATAAATAAAAAGAAGGCTCTCATCCAAGTCAATGCAGCTTCACAAAACATCAGATAAGTATCAGATTATGCCCAGAAAGATTCCAAAACAAGGACAACCAAATAATGCCAAAACAATATCATACCAAAACAAAGAAGTTTCCACCCCCCACATGTCATCAATCTGCTGAACACCTAATTCCCACAGCATTGTCTAATGCCTAAAGATATTCACCCATGCAGTCGGGCTATATTGCTATTATCCTTCTCATGTTCTCATCTTTCCTACTACCATCTCCTATTGGTATCCTATGATTTATGACTTGTTTGTATCCCATGATTTATTATTGTTATGATATATGATCTCATGACTTCTTGGTATGCACTGGGAGCTTATGCAGCAGAGAAAAATTCCTTTGGCGACCAATCACATTTGTCCAATAAAGAATATTCCTATATTCGTATTTATCTACGGAGATTCTCAATCATCCTGGTTCTCCCAAAGGTGGTTTTTTTTTTTTCAAGAGGGCAACTGGACTTTCTGGTTTTTCTTTCAAGACATTTCACTTCTCATCCAAGAAGCTTCTTCAGCTCTGACTGGATGGTGGAGAATGGAATATATATATATATTCCTATTCCTATATAACAATATTTCAAAACAAGGAGAATTTTGGATTGACTCTAAGTAAGGTGTTCATACCTGAGCCAGCTCCAGGAACACAAGAACATCACCATCTATATCCACTAACATCTGCGTTGCTTCCATCAAACCAGACACAGTGAACTGTTCTGCATAAACAATAAAAATATAAAATATAATCAGTTGGTTCATTGTGTGGCCCACAAAGAAGATTTAAATTTCTGTCTTGCCAATAACAAACCAACTGAGTTATTGGTGGTCTAAGAATAATAATCTGAGAAATGGTATCATGTATTGTCTTTTTTTTAAAAAATAATAATAATAATCCCATTCACTGAAAACTGAGATGAATAAAAAGGCACACAGAAACTTTTCACACTTAGAGTGCATCCAAAATGGACAATCAAAAATAAATACGATGTTTATTTCTGATATTTGGGGTTTATTTCCTATGTTTGGCATTTGAAACAACTCATCGTTTCATAGATGGGAAAAGAGACGGCGCAACGTGGTTCTTAGAATTACCTGTCAGTGCAACCAGGTGTGGCAGACACAAGCGGTTGGCCAAGATGATGAGCTTCATGTAATCAAGGTCTGAAGAAGAATAAAACTGGCCAGTATACAGGTACTCAAGCACGGCTCGCATGCAACTCTTACTGGTGTATGGTAGCACTACCTGCAATGATGAGGATACCAAAGGGTTAAATCTGTACCATTTTCAGGTGCAACCACCAACCAACTGTGAGTTCTAGTCCCGCCTTAGGCATGAAAACCATCTGGGCGACTTTGAGCCAATCACCAGGAGACGGTGAGTTTTAGTCCTGCTTTGGCCATGAAAGCTGGCTGGATGACTTTGGGCCACTGATTCTCAGCCCAACTCACCTCACAGGGTTGTGGTTGTTGTGGGCACAAGAGGAGGAGGAGGAGGAAGAGGAGGAATATTATGTACTGTATGTTCACCATCTTGAATTACGTATAAAGGCAGGCAAGTTAAATAAACACATAAATAAATCTACTTCTCAGTCCATGCTCAAGGTTGTCTCACCTCCTGAGTTGAGCTCTCAACAAACGGACCCCCAAACATGGCAGCCATCCAGTCACAACTGGAGATCAGCAAGGGCTTGTGGGCACTGATAGCACCATCATCCAGTATAAAAGTGACATCTGCGAAGAAGGAGAACATGCTAAGCACATTGGTTACATAATAGTTACATGTCTCTGTCACGCTGGAAACAGAGTTCTAGATTAGGAGTCTCCAACTTGGGCAACTTTAAACCTGGCGGACTTCAACTCCCAGAATTCCTCAGCCAGCATAATCTAGACCCCCCCCCCGGTCTAGATTATTCCTCTTTCTAAAAAAAAAAAAACTTGCCAAGCCTGGCTTAAGAATGACAAAGAGGCTTTTGTCCGTTCAAATATGGCTAGCTGAAATTTCTGAAGGCTGTAATTTCCTAGCGCTGGAAGTTTAGGTGAGTAAACCAACAAGCCATGAATACAAATCCATCTGTGGTGACAGCATTATACTCCAATTGAAACTACGTTCCAGATTGGTGCTCTTTCTATCCAACTCTTATGATTTTAGACTACCATGCAGCCCAGTCAGAGTGTGTGATACACTCACTTCATTATTTCACACCAAGGCAGGAAACCTGGACCCTCAGACCAAAACTATCTTCGGGTAGCCTTCGACTTATGTGATCACCGTTGAGCCCCAAATTTCCACTGCTAAGCAAGGTGGTTGTTAAGTGAGTTTTTTGCCTCATTTTGCAACCATGGATGTCATGAGGGTCAATGGCTATTAGCCTTGATGGCTATATGGTTTTCTCTGAAGGCCATCTGGCGAGGAACCAGTGCACTTTCTTGTCCAGTTGGGTGGCCACTGTGAGAAGAGATTGTGAGACCAAAAAGAGCCACTAAAGTTTTTATGTTATAGTCTCATGTTCTCATCCCTGTATCGGGGCTCTCCAACCTTGGCAACTTTTAAGACTTGTGGACTTCAACTCCCAGAATTCCTCAGCCAGCAAAGCAAAGCTGGCTGAGGAATTCTGGGAGTTGAAGTCCACAAGACTTAAAGTTGCCAAGGTTGGAGACCCCTGGCCTGGCCTAAAGCATCTCCAAAGATGCTTTTATTTTAAAGGCCACTGGACTTTTTGAGGCTTAAAGGCAACTCCCACACACACCCCTTTTGCTTCTCATTCAAGAAGCTTCTTCAGCTCTAACCACCTGGTTACCATCTACCAACCAGCTGGTTAGAACCGAAGAAGCTCCTTGAATGAGAAGTGAAACATCTTAAAGAAACATTTTTAAAAGTCCAGTTGCTTTTAAAATAAAAGCACCTTTGGGATACCATGACCTGGATGAATGGGAGCCTCCATAGATGTTTACCCCAAAGTAGTGTTTTTTAACCTTGCCAGATTTTAAGCTATGTAGGCTTCAACTTGCTGGCTGAGGAATTCTGGGCATTGGAAGTTAATATATCTTAAAATTGCCAAACTTATCCTAAAGGCACAACCCAAAAGCTACTGACACTCTGTTTTATGATTGTTCCACCCACAGCAGGGACAGGGATAATCAAGACAAGCATGTTTGGCAACAGCTTGATACAGAGGATAAAAATAGGAGGACGCTGCATGCTGCAAAATGATTTTATGAAATCCAGATGCAACGTTAAACACTGCTGTTAAACGAGTGTTCACCGAGGTGCCTGGAGTAGTGAAAGAGCTGGCCCTCTAGTTTGACAGCAGGCTTCTGTATTCCTTCTGAAGAGGCAGAAGGAACACTGGATACATATGTACCAAGCGATAAGGTGCTAAACCTTATTCAAGTTCTCCCACTTGGAGATTGGATAAGATTTCAAATTCACATCGGAACCAGTGCTCCTACGCCTACGTAAATCCAGACGAAAGAGAATAGAATGGCAGAACTGGGGATGGAATGAAAAGGGGAATCCGCCTAGAATCTCTACGTAGCCACAAGAGAAAGAATCCCAACTCCTTTTGAGTGCCATTGACCCTTATCCAGTGGTGGGATTCAGCCAGTTCACACCAGTTTGGGAGAACCGGTTGCTAACTTTCTGAGCAGATTGGTGAACCGGTTGTTGGAAGAAATCATTATGGCAGAGAACTGGTTGTTAAATTATTTGAATCCCACCACTGCCCTTATCTAACTCTAAGCAGATGCCAACCCTTAATTGAGAAGTTTCCTGTGCATCGGCTTTTAGCAATGTATCAGTTTAATTGAACCTTTATGTATGGATTCCGGTCTTTTGTGCCTGACACCAGAATAGCAAAGCAGAAGTAACTGTTTCCCCAGCCAGTACAATGTTTTAAATGCAGGATACATTTTCACCAAGGAACATGCAGGATGTTGGCACACAGAAAAAGCAGATTTGGCAGCCGTGGTTTCCCCACAAGCAGCCAAGTTCATCTTTGTGGGCAGAGCACCAATCACCAATGCACGCACGTACACGAAACAACAGAACCCAAAATTTCTATTAGCTTATTTGACCTCACTTGGACTGTAACTCAGTAGACAGTTGTAAGACACCTTGCGGATACAATATTCACAGCCAGAATAAGGCAGGTCTCCCCTGATATCCATGCTCAGTCAATTGTAGGATTAATTCTGTGTTGGTCACTGGGACCAAAGGTTTATTCTTCCAAGTTTTCGGGCTCAAGGTAGAAACCTATCCTTGGGAAACTTAGAAGCCTAGGGCATGGGCAGCAAAAGGAAACAACTAATGACTTAATAGCTGGCCATCAATTTCCTAATTAACAGCTGAAAGAAACACAAGCAGGCACCATACAAACACAACGCTTAGAATAAGTCCAGTGCACACATTCTGGAGAGCGGGTGGGAGGGAGAGAGAGAGAGGAAAAGAGGCAGAGGGAGGGAGGGAGAGAGGAAGAGGGAGAGGAGAAAGAGAGAGAGGAGGGAGAAAGGGAGAAGAGAGGGAGAGAGAGAGGAAGAGAGAGGGAGGGAGGGGGAGGGAGAGAAAGGGAGAAGGAGAGAGAGGGAGGAGAAAGAAAGAGAGAAGGGAGAGAGAGAGAAAGGGAGAGAGAGGGAAGGAGAGGGGGGGAGGAGAGAGAGAGAGAGAGGAGAAAGAGAGGGAGGGCGGTTCCCTGAGGATGGGCTCCAGCATGAGCCCAAAAACCTTGAAGAATGAACCTTTGGTCCCGGCGACCGACTCAGATTGGATCCTGCAACATTATCCTGGGACATGTATATTTCCCTTCATTCGTCGGTAGATTGTCCCGTTGGGAGCTCAAAACTGTGTCTCGGTTGAATTAAGACTCCTGGCTTTCCTGCAAATCTCGCTTTCCAACCTACCCGAGAAATTCCCCTTGGCCAGACATTCTTTCACCCGGTTGGTTCTCCTGACGTGGAAGGCTTTGGTGATCTCCTGGTTCATGAACGCCTCGTTGTTGAGGATGTTCGCCACCATCATCCTGAGGTCAAAGACTTCGAGCAGCTCAGCAATGTGGGCGATATGCATGAGATCCCTCTCGTTCTCATCCAGTTCCCCGGTGTAGAGATATTTGAGGACGGCCCTGAACGGTCCCAGCTGGATGGAAGGGTCCATCTTCACTACTACCATCAGCCGGGGTTTGTAGGTCATGGGGTCGTCTGCCATCTCCTCCTGGATGCTGACAAAGGCACGGCTCCAGGAGGAGAGGAGCCTCCCCCGCTTTAGCCCTCGTTCCCCGTAGTTCTTGCCCCGCAAAATCCCATCGCTGGTGGAGGCTCTAAGGCACGGTTTTTGCTGGCCGGAGCCAGCTTCTTCAGTACTCTCGCAGATGTCGAAACTAGCAGCCCTCAAGAGGAATTCCCGCCCGTGGTGGTGTCGTTCCTGAGGAACCGTCCGCTCCGCGGCCCCCATCCTGAGGCTGCTGCCTGCCATCTCCTCTTGGCCCCCCTCGTCCAGGTCCATCAGGAACAAGTCGTAGAACTTGGAGGAGGCGGTGGAGAGGTAGATCTTGTGCGCGTAGATTTTGATTCTCTCTTGCAGCACCAGGATGACATCTGCACACAGAGGGTCTTCCAGCAGATGGGCCGGGCACTCTTCATTGTTAGAAGGGGGGTCGGGGACGACGATGATGGGAGGAGGAGGCTTGGGAGGCAAGAAAGGGGCCTGGAGCAACGGCCGTTGAACATTACGGAGGTGGGATTTCCAGAACTGGAGATGCCGCCGGGAGATGAGGGCAGCTCGGATGGCGTTGTCGAAGACATCCTTGATGCCAAATTGGGCTACTACACTGGTCTCGTAGTAAGGGATGCCCAGCTCTTTGGCTACCTCTCGCCCCTTCTCCGGGGGAAGAATTTCATTTGGTTTGATTGGCCTGGAAGAAAAAGGAAATAACAAAGGTCTGACGTTAGCTGAGCAACCAAAACTCAAAATGATAGGTAGGGGAAAGGATGATCTAACTGGAAGAGGGACCCAGTGGCTCAGTGGAAGGAAACCCTAAAGCCAATGTCCTACCTGGCTAAAGGTCTCCTGGCTCGGTTCACTGCTTCCAGGTCAGCATAGCGGAGGTCGAGCTGGCAGCCTACCAAGATGACAGGTGCCCTGGGACAGAAATGCTTAATCTCAGGGTACCACATGGTCTTCACATGGTGGAGGGAGTTTGGATTAGCAATGGAGAAACATAATACTACGACGTCAGATCTGTGGGAAGAAAGGAGGCAAGAATCAATGACCAAGGACTGTAAGAGTTGGCCCTGAATGATGGCCTCTGACCCCGAGTTACTTTATAACTCGGTAAAAGTGTTAAGAAAAGTTCTGTATCCGCTTTCAGGACCTACCTTCCATAAGCAAAGCGTCTGTCTTTGTGATGGTCCCCAAAGGTATCCCAAAGCCTTAAGGAAACACTAACATCATCTACAACATCTCGGGAACGTTCCAGTACCTGGGAGAAATTAAAAAAAAAAAAAGATTATCTTCAGACAAAGGGACAATTAACCAGCCAGTGTACCAGACCCTGACTACTCTTTAGAAGGCCAGATCCTGAAGATGAAACTCAAAGACTTTGGCCACCTGATGAGAAGGAAGGACTCACTGGAGAAGAGCCTAGTGCTGGGAATGATTGAGGGCAAAAGAAGAAGAAGGGGACGGCAGAGAAGGAGGTGGATGGATGGAGTCACTGAAGCAGTAGATGTGAGCTTAAATAGACTCCGGGGGATGGAAGAGGACAGGAAGGCCTGGAGGAACGTTGGCCATGGGGTTGCAATAGGTTGGACATGACTTTGCAACTAACAACGAGTGTGGGGCTGAAGGTGTTAGACTAGGGAGGGCAGAGACCCAAATTCTAATCATCACTCTAGAGCAGGGGTGTCAAACTTGATTTCATTGAGATAACATCAGGGTTGTGTTTGACCTCGGGGGGCCAAGGTGGGTGTGGCCAGCTCAACATGACTCATGTCGGGGTGTCTGTGGTGGCCCTAGTGCTTCTGCCAGCGAAAACAGGCTCTCGAGCTCAGTTTTCGGCTGCCACGGCCTCCTACAACCCTTTGCCAGTGAAAACGGAGCTCAGAAGCCCATTTTCACTGGCAGAAGCACAGCTGGCCGGTCCTTCACTGTTTCCAGGGTGGCCCCATGGGCCAGATCCAGGGGTGGAATTCAGCCGGTTCAGGCCAGTTCGGGTGAACCGGATGTTAAATTTATATCAGGTTCACCGAACCAGTAGTTGAACCGACTGGCCACCCCTCACCTCACCTCCCAGGAGTCTCCACATGGCCCATTTTGGATGCAGGTAAGGGCAGGGTCTTCACGGAGACTCTGGGAGAGCAAAAAGTGGCCCTTCCGGAAGTCCAGAAACAGACCTGTTTCGGGCTTCCAGAGGGCCTCTGGAGCTCAGGGAAGGCCATTTTCGCCCTCCCAGTGGCCCAAGGGAAGCCTCCGGACTCTGGGGAAGGCGAAAAACTTCCCTCCCGGAAGTTCCGGTAGGCCACGCCCTCCATGGCCACGCCCACCCAGCAACCAGGCAGAGAACCTGTTGTTGGGATTTTCGAATCCCACCCCTGGCCAGATCTAAATACTCCGCAGGCCTGATCCGGCCCTAGGGCCTTGAGTTTGACACCCCTGCTCTAGAGGAGTTTGAGGAGGATAGACCAGACCGACTCAGGTTCTGGTCCCCCTTCCCCGTACAGGCTCCTTGGGGGGTGGGGGTGTCTTTAGGTCTTTGTTTCAGCCCAACTTTGCAGGATTTTGGTTGTGGGGGGAAGAATAGGGACCACTGTGTATGCCAGCAAGAGCATCACTACAAAAGATGGGATGTTTATGTAACAAATAATTTCCTTTCAGTTTTTCAGCCTACGAATCTGCAACATGGCTTTTGGGAAAATAAATTAAGAAACATCTCAATTTTTTGTTCCTCCTAATATTTCATTAAGGAAAAAATAAATGTGAGCATTTTCATCAGAACCAAATCGGAACAACCCTGGGGGAAAAAAAAACCTATACCACATCATAAATTTATTGTTAGAAGATGATACGTGGTTGCAGTTTAAGCCAAAAAAAAAAAGACCTCTTTAAAGCTGGAGATGATGGGGAATAAAGGAGACTTTTTATAAAAGTTTTTTTTTGTTTTTGTTTTGATGAAGAGCATCCAAAAACTGCAGTAGGGGAAGAATAAGGACATTCAATGGTAGGAAGTGGTGCAGATTTTGTTGACTAGTGTAGGAAAAGTTCTCCTTTTTTTCAAGTGTGCAATTTATTTTCCAAAAATCTGCACACCACTCGTTTATTGTTTTACACACATGCACAAACAAATAAGAAATAGTGCCTTCATTTTTTTAAGAGTTTGCCATGACAATGAAGTTTAATCTAGAGATTCAGGGAGTTGTATCAGCAGGTGACCCCCACCGCTTTTAAGAGTCCCAAAGGAAGGGGTTTTTTTTTTTCTACACCATCACTTCCTCCTTGATATACCTATCAATGAAAATGCCACTCACCTCCTGGCAAACACGGTACTGATCAATAGCCCAGACGGTGGGCACATGGGTAGCAAGGAGCTGATATTGAGTCAATGTGGCATTACATGCGCGGGCACAGATGAGCCGAGTCTTGCCCACTGCGTTGTCCCCAACCACAACACACTTGATGGTTTCTACGTTTGGCCTTTCATAATCCATGTCAGAATCCATTAATTGGGACCTGCATCAAGAGAGGGAGAGGGAAGGAAAGAGAAAAGGGGCATCAGAAAGGGTGGGAGTTTTTTTCTTTTCTTTTTCTTTTCAGATGGAGCTCCAGATTGTCTTCCACAAGTGGGCCACACCACAATGGAAGGAATCAATAGTAATGGAATAGAATAGGATGAATGAGCTGGGAGGAACCCTGGAGGTCTTCTAGTCCTGCCCCCTGCTTAGGCAGGAGAACCTATATCATTTCAGATAAGTGACTGTCTCGTCTCTTTTTAAAAACCTCCAGTGATGGAGCGCCCACAACGTCTGAAGGCAACAGTCCTCACTGTTAGGAAATTCCTCCTTCGTTCTAAGTTGCTTCTCTCCTTGATTAGTTTCCATCCATTGCTTCTTGTCCTGCCCACAGGGGCTTTGGAGAATAATTTGACCACCCCTCTTCTTTGTGGCAGTCCCTCAAATACTGTAATACTGCTAGCACGCCTCCCCTAATTCTTCTTTTCTTTAGACTAACCAATAATCCTACTTCACAGTGGGACCTGCTGGAGGGGATATGCAATGATTTTTATTTATTTTATTTATTTTATTTTGTCAAGTGATTATTAGATAACAGGTATAAGTATAAACATGGTTATAAATACATGAAATGGATACGAATAAGAAACAATAGGACAGGGACGGTAGGCACGTTGATGTGCTTATGCACGTCCCCTACAGACCTCTTAGGAAAGGGGTGAGGTCAATAGTAGACAGTCTAATTTAGATCTAATAATCTAATAATGATTCTCAGTTTTGGCCTTTGCAAATGGCAACACACACACACACACACACATACCACCCTCAACTGGCCACCCAACTTTCCAAAGACTTGGGTAGTTGTTCTCCTCCAGACTGAGATAATCCTCACCAGATCTCAGAAAAGAACTGAGAAGAGCCTTGAAAGGGGTTTGGGAACTTGGCCAGTGCCCCCACCCCTACCCAGCATGCATTCCAGCCAGTGTCCCTTACAAATTAATAAGCATTTCAGAGCATGTCTCAGTGCAGCTTCCGATAAGATGCATATCCTGGAAATTTGCTTCCCATCTCCTTCCTTCTCTTTGTTTCCTACGCTGGTTATGTGAGACTCCCAATCTCACCTCCACCAAACCTGTCCCCCATCCAAGATTGGTCAACAACCTTTGCATTGAGTCTGACCCATTCCTCTGCCCTCCTCTCTTCTCATATACAGACATCCAAATGCATCACACCAGCAGCCTCTGGGACTTAATAATTAAAATAGACACTGTAATGCAGACCTCAGGCTGCTTGTTTAGCAAAAGGAACCACGGATACTTGGGATAATGGAATTTACAGCATTTGTTGCTGACTCAGAATAAAACAAAGGCCTGGCTCCCTGCTTGGTTTTGAAAAAAAAAACCACTTGTTTTCCTTGGTAGGAAAGTTTATAACAAGAGTGTTACAACTGGCATCTGAATGGGAAGAACTCATGCAGTTAGAAAGACGCTTCTGTAAGCAAAGGGGGCATTTGATATGGTTGAACATTTGCCCTCAAGTGAAATTGAAGGAAGTTTGTGCCCTCTTATCTTCTATACTGGGATTTGGATTGGGTCATGGAAGCAGCTCAGCAGCCTGTAGCTGATCTAATCTAATGGTAGGAGTTTGAGAAGAAAGTTAACTTAACTCCAAGTCTTAAGGCAAAAATTGCTTCCAAGTTCCCCATTTCTCCGTGCTTCTATGTTCTATGATGTGAGCTTTACATCATTCAATAGTGTAGAATACAGAATAGTGCTATCGTGTCATCCCAGCCCTTCTCTTCATTAAACTAGATATACCTCGTTCCCACAACCATCGATTGTATGTTTTGGCCTCCAGACCCGTTATCATCTCTGTGGCTCTTCTCTGCACTCTTTCTATAATCCCTATCACAACCATTTTGGCAAGGGTCACAGATCTTATGGCTGCCTGCACAGAACATGCTAAGCTTCATTTTACGTTTAGCCAAGTGCTTGTTGGTTGAGCTCAACAGGTTTATGAACTCAACAGATTTACAATTCAAAGTTTGGGTTTTTTAATCATAAACGAAAAAGGGTCAATTCAATAACCCAATTAAGCATGTTAGGCAAATCCACCCAGGTCACACTGCTTATCAGCATGGAGATTAAACTATGCTCGCTCAGTGCTACACACATGGAAATGGCCAATTGTACAATATAGAATTGTACAATATATTGCATAAACAAAATAATATAGACTTGAGTCCTGAGAAATTTTCATAGCAAAAGGATAGATTTGGTGAAAGGCATTTAAATAAATGTGCAATGACAGATGCTGGTGACAAAGAACCCCACTACGATGGTGGACTCTTAAAATAATAACCTCCTTATTGTTAGAAAATGTATCCAATGAATAAAAGAAAAGCGAAATAAAAGAATTACACGGGGGGGGGGGGGATCTTCTGTTTCTCAGTGCACAGGTTTTGAAAAGCTGGGTGTGATTCATTTATCCCAAAATAGGCCTCAAGTGTCAGGTATCCACTGATTTTATAAAAATGGTTTTTGTGATAAAAATAAGACCACACACCATATGAGGCAAAAAAAAAGAGGTGTATTATTAGCTTTGTTCTTTATTGCTCCCAATACACGACATTGACAGCCAGAAGAGAGTTTGATAAGAATAAGAGTTTCTTTTAAAAAATATTAAGAGACTTTGAGACTACAATTCTATTTATGTTGTCCTTAAAAAGCAATCATATATAGAATACATCTCACCTTAGCAGGTAGCATTGTCCCAAAGCAATTTAAACATATTTCTATAGGCTTTCACATTGATTTACACAACCCAACCTCCCCAGGAGTGGGAGGATGAGGGAGTAAGTATAATTCTAATACTCAGTATAAAATACAAATATAATATGTAGGAGTATTGAGAACCAAGTTTAAATTCCCACTGAGCCACAAAAGGTTGCAAGGTAATTGTAGGCCACTGTACTGTATGACATGATTCATGTAGTACGTACTACTTAAAATATAATTTATGTGACCTTGGTGCATTGAATAAACCACAGTCTATAAAGCATCATATATAAACCCACCATGGATAGGTTCACACAATATATTAAGCCAGAACTGAAAAACCCAGGTTGTGTGAAACCAGACAATTCAACCTGCTCTACCTCCTAGATTTATTCAGAGGATAAAATAGGGGGAAGTAGAACGGCATTGCCTATAATCTGGAGTAAATACACAGCACACAACAGAGACCATTAAGAACCACTTGCTCACATTAAGCATTAATTCAGGGGCAATAAACAAGTAATCACCAGTTTGGTATAAGTGGTTAAACTCTGGCTGGAGAATTCTGAGAGTTGAAGTCCACAAGTCTTAAAGTTGCCAAGTTTGGAGACCTCTGGGTTAAAGCATCAAGCTAGGAACCAGGGATGATGAGTTCCAGGCCCACCTTAGCTACAAACCGAGCTGGACAACCTTTGGCCAGTCATTCTTCTCTGCCCTGGGAAGGAGGCAATTAGCAGACCCCTTACTAAAACCTTGCCAAGGAAACTGCAGGGACTGGGTCCAGGTGGGCACTAGGAATCAAGATAGATTCAAAGGCCGAAAAGAGGAGGGAGGGAACCCCCAAGTAATTAATATCCAGGGGATGAATATAGCCTGAAATTTTAGGCTATCGTGATTTCATAGTGGCATGGTGGATGCTTGCATCTGTCCGAATCCCTTGGTAGACTTTTGGTCTTTTATCCTTGGTAAACTTCCCTTTTTAGCACATTTGGCCAAAGTAACAGAACCGAGTTTGTAATTCCGCTTTGGAAATCATTACACGGGGTTGCAAGAGTTAAGAAGAACTCACTGCTAAGGTGCAAGAGGCAGGGGCATATGGGATGGAAATAAGAAGGAGGTCAAATTATTCTCCAAAGCACCGGAAGGCAGGACAAGAAACAATGGATGGAAACTAGACAAGGAGAGAAGCAATTTAGGATTAAGGAGAAATTTCCTAACAGTGAGTGGTTTGCCTTCAGAAGGTGTGGCTGCTCCAATCTCTGGTAGCATTTAAGTACTGGACAGCAATTTGACTGGAATGGTATATGTATAGGGTCTCCTGCTTGGACAAGGGAGTGGACTAGAAGACCTTCAAGAGCCCTTCCACCTGTTATTCTATTTATGTTGTTGGAAAAAAACAAAAACAAAAGGAAGAACACCGCCAGGTGGAATTCCAGCAGCAGCAAACAGGGCCGGCTCAATTAGAGTCAGGTGCTATTTAAGAAGGGGACTATCAATTCAATGCACAGACCAAAGCTACCATCTCTGGCCCACCTCCTTTCCTGCAACTATTCATCAGATATTCTTCCTTCCGCACACATTGTATATATATTGCAAAAACCTCTTGGGACACTGATAGCCATCTCTTTTCTTTCAACCCCACTGAGCAGGTCTATTTTAGTTGCTCTTTTGTCCCAGGGCAGCCAATTCATTTATTATCTGCTTTTGTTTCTCCAGGATCTTGGGCTTCAAGCTCTGTCAATCACGGCACCCAGATGCTCCAGTTCCCCACCTCCTCCCCGGGGCTTGCTTGAGCCTTAACCCTTCTCCTTTCCAGACTCAAGTTTGTGGGCTTGCTGCTCTCGTTTGTTCCTCCTCTGTCATCCCAGCATCTGTCCCTGCTCGTCACTCCCTCCTGCTCTCTCGGGTCAGGTCCTCAGCGCTCTGCTTACTAGAATTCCAGCCCTCCAAAACCTGCCTCGCTATCTCTTAAAGAGAAAAAGTCCCCGTGTTCTCGCAAGCTGCCCCAGTCTTCTGTTGCCAAGGAGACCACAGAATCACCAGGGGAGCCTAACTCGTTTCCTAGCAACGGGAGAGCTCAAAAAATCCCTCCCATCATTTTACAGGAATGTAGAATGTAAAATATTTATTATTATTATTTTTTTTAAAAAAAAGAAATGTATCTTCCTCCCTTTATCATGATTTGTTCAGAACTAGTCCTCGCAACGTTGTGTCCAAACAGGAT